AGGGGGGTGCGGGGGGCAAGTAAGTTCATTCGCGGGAGAGTCATCTCGAGAATCGGGAAAGAGAGCCGGGGTAGCTTCTGCCCGCTGTGTGTGAACTATTTTCGATTCCGACGGGGTTGATAAAGTAGCGGAGGGACTCGGCGGATGCAATAAAGGCGCCTTTCCGCGAGTCACGTTTCGACGTAGCGACGGGAGCCCGAGGAATCTCTATAGCGCGGCGTGACCGAGGTAATTTATTTTCTGCCCTGATATTACATAACGACAATACTTTGTCGCGCCCCGGTTAGGTGATGAATCGTCCGGGGTGGCGGCGGCGAAATCAGGGCGCGATTCCCGATGTCGCGCCGCGCGACAATGCGGCCCAATTTTTCGCGGGCCCCCCCCCCCCCCGTTATCGTCCGCGCCCCCCGTTTTACGCGCGCGCGAAAGCACCGACGCTCGCCTCTCGTTAGAGAGCGTACTGGGGGGAAAAAAATTAATAATTAAGGTTTAATTACGGGGAAGGAACCTGGCACGTTACGTATAAGGCGCCGGGGCCTTCGATCGGCACGGCGTAATTTCGCATGCTAAGCCGTGTAATATGTACGCCCGCGCACTTACGGCGCTATTACGACGATACGTAGGTTTCGAGAACAATATTAGCAACGTTTACGCGGACGGTTTGTCACGATTAAGCGTTTCAGCGCTTACGGCGAAATTGGTACTTCGATAATATATCACGGGAGCGTAAAACCGACGCTATCGTCATAAACACGCCGACGGGGTAATAATAAGTTAACGCAGATTTAGCGCCGGTAAAAACTACAGCTCGCATTTATCGCGCCGCTAAATTGCCCGGCGAAAGTAAAAAGGCGGGGGGGGGGGCGGGGGCTGCGCCCCGAGCGACTTATCACCTTTCACTTATTTCTACTAATATCCAATTCGCTTCTCGCTGTGTACGTAGCATTTCATCCGCCTTTCCGATTAAATATGGTAATCGTATTTCACGCGAGGCATTAAAGTACTTTTCCGTTTGTCGAAGGAATTTGCTAAGATATCGTTAATTCGTCTCGTCAACTTATTTTAATTTGTAAAGTGAGGACAGAATGTTGCGACACGTTTTTTTTTTTTAGTGTGTTTAGGAACGTGCGCATTTAGATTCAAAATCTTCTTCGAGGAACATTTTAGTGATGGCTATTCAAAAACCATTGTGAGCGATTTCGATCTATCTCTCGAAGAAAATTGGATTTCTTATTTAACGAAAACAATTATTTCATTTAATAAATAGTATTCTATATCTCAAGAAATCTTTATTTGAATGTAGAAAATGTAATAATTTCAATTAATTTACTTAACATAATACATAGATTTAGTTGAAATTTGGCATTGTTATTTAAATAGAACAAATATTTACTTCGGTAAAAAAATAATTTTAAGTAAATCTATTTACTTAGTTTAAAAAAAGTTTTTGTCAGTGTGGATATGTCCGATAAAATTTTTCCGATGACATTTGATTGAAAAACCATCATATTTTCCACCGGACCATATAATTTAATCAGATACATCCGTTTGTTTTTATGTAATTGGATTATCCGGTTATATTTAATCGGACATTTTTCTCAGTGAACGTAAACCTGAATCTAACTGCGGGTTCCTAAACTTATTAAAAAAGTGTCGCGAGTGTGTCTGTGTTTCTCTCGAGGCCGGTGTCCACGACGCTAGAACTTGGTCCAAGTTCCAGTTCCGAGAAATGTGTAGCCAATCAACTTGCAGCTATTCCATAAAAGCTGCAAGTTGATTGGCTACACTTGGACCAAGTTCTAACATCGTGGACACAGGCCTTTAGTCTCCCGCGCTTTTGTTTCACTTCGTTTTATTTCTTACCGATGGGCTTCCAAGCAACAGATTTTTGTTGGTGCCTTACCAGTCGCGTGTGCTACCCGTGTCCTCACTCTGCCACTTCTTCGTAGCCTTAAACGTGCACTAAATACACGCTATTATTGTTATTATTATTAATTTAATTATTCTGTTATTCTTCCTTGAAATTATAAATTAACAGTCGACCTTTCTGTTTGTTGCTTTCGAATATAGTGGGTAGCTAAACATTGACCAATTACTAAATTGCCAATTATTTTGTTAAATAATAGTGATTGTTTAATCAAATAATTGGCGAGAGAGCGGGGTCGCGGCGAGACTCCTTATTTTTCCATCCCCCGCGCGACGCGGAGGCACCCGGACGGCTCGTCCCCGCGCAATTAATCGCTTCGCGATCGCGCAATTAACGTTCCCACCGACATTAAATACGACGGATGGGTCGGTCGGGTTAACTGAGCGGCCGCGCTGACGCGCGAACGCGCATTAAATGTCTCGGTATAATTTCTGCGATAATTTCTCATCCCCCGCGGGCCGAGTCGGCCGACGTGCCGACGCGATATCGCGACGTGGCGCGACGGGGGTGTTTCAAAAAGTGACGCGCGCGGATGCTAATTATTTCGAACTCTCGGCTCGCCCGCCGCGCTTCTGTGCCCGGGACAACGAGCCGCAAGCTCACCTGCCCCCGCCTTCGCGATAAGGCGAGCCGAAACAAATTACGCGGGCATTAAAATTATTACACGACCATTTTTTAGCCCGCCACCGCCGTGTGTATCTCGGTCGACGTCACGGAGATTGAATAGCCGGCGCGGACGTTCCTCGGATGCTGCGAGACGCGCGAAGGAAACGATATTTAATCCTCACGGCCGGAAATTCGCGACGAGGGCGAACGTGGTTACTTTTTTTTCTTTTTTTTTTGAGGGGCGCGCGAAGAGATCCAAGGGGGTAACCGCTAGCTAAAATGTTGTCCCATCGATTACGCCATTTCATTTGATTACGAACAATCTCATCTAATTGCAAATCATTGTCTCATATGCACGTTTAAAAATACGTGATGTTGTTAAATCTCAAAATATATTTTTCTTATTTTACTAACAGTAAGTATATTTGCCTGTAGAGGTAATTTCAGTTAAGATTGTAGCATTCCGGTCACGTGTTTCCCTGCTTCCCACTTTTCCCAGTCCAACCGTGGTCTTAACGAAAAGTAATGCTGTATTTGTATTCGCTGTTTATTGTTCCACATTTGCGCGCAAAGGTGTAACAGCGTTTCAACCCGCTGTTGTTCTAACAGCAACTATACTCGAGTCTTATTGCGAAAAGAGTACGCGCTTATAGGCGTGAACTATGATATATATTTGAATATTCACTGAAAGAGGTAAATTTTGTTGAAAAGTGAAAACGAGCTGAGGAAACGTTCGAATTTAATGTTGATTGTCTAACGAGTGAAGAAAGTTGAAAATGAAGGCAAAACGATTACGCGGGGATTTCGTAAGGATTTCATGATTTCGAAGACACTGGTCCCGCGATTGCATCAAGTGGCTACCCCCTTGAAGGGATCCGTTCGTTTTCATCGGCTCGTAACGATATGGAAAGGGACGCCGATTTAACGCGCGTGTGGAGCGCGACACGCGATTCCGGATGCGCGGAATTAAAAATGCCCGATCTCGAAACACAATTCCGCGAGGGGGAGGAGATCAATAGATGGCACGCACTGTCGAACGTTCGCGCGCGCGTTTGTATAAAGAGATATTGTTAACATAGATCGAATGATTTCGACGGAAATATACATTCTACGCCGGGCGTGAAATATATTCGCGCGTGCGTCAACAACACGTACGAATATCCGCCAAATTTTACATCGCGCGCCTCCTCCATATACATGGGATAACTTGAAATTTCCAAGAGTTTGAAAATTTATACCCGTGACTGCCGGTTAAATATTACGGTTTAATTTTTCCCTATGTTTATCCGGAAGGGCTGAAGGGGGGGGGGGAGGCGGGTTTACGTATTTATTCGCGTTCGATGCAATCACAACTATCGATTTCCGACCGTCGAGCGGCACTTTAAATATTATTTTTACAGCACGTCATATACTGCGTTGTTCTTCAGAATCAGTATTTTTTCCCCCATAAGCTGACGGATTTCTGTGTAGTGCATGTTACGTTTCGTTCAAGCGTCTTGACGAGAAAAGGAGCGAGAGGGCAGAAGGAAGCAGAGAGAGAGAGAGAGAGAGAGAGAGAGAGAGAGAGAGAGAGAGAGAGAGAGAGAGAGGGGGAGGGAAAGAGAGACGAGAGAATAGAATAGAATCTTTATTCGTTAAACGCTCTGAGACAAGTCCCCTAAAACGTTAGACAAGCTGCACGGAAACATAATTACGAGTGAGAAGGAGCTTTTGTATAATAAAAACTTCGAACATAGAAGAACGTATAGAACAAAGATAGTATATAGAAAGATTGCAGATTACACTTGACTAATTGCAACAAGAGAGAGGGCAGGGAGAATAGAATCTTTATTCATTAAACGCTCTGGGACAAGTCCCCTAAAGCGTTAGACAAGCTGCACGGAAAATTATTACGAGTCAGAATGAGCTTTTGTATAATAAAAACTTTGAACATTGAAGATCGTATAGAACAAAAATAGTATATAGAAAGATAACAACGTTAAGATTTGTCGACCCTATCTGGCAATTTTTATGATTTAAGCATCGCTACGTTTCGACCATGGGTTTCGGTCCTTTTCAAGCGATCTGACATATACAAATTAGAGATTAAAATATAGAAATATGTTGCAGATTACAATTGACCAATTACAACAAGAGGGGAGGGGGAGGGAACGAGATAGAGAGACCCTACACTGGGGTTTCCCGAAGGGATGACGTTCTGTTCTTTCGCGTGGAGAACAGACGTGCGCGATTAGACGAATTTAGCTCCGGCCGCGCGAATCTCTCGCGCGTACGGCACTACGTGTCGCATTTAAAAACGCAATACCTCTACCCCTCGGGAGCGCGTACTTTTTCAGGATTAGGATCCCTCCCCCCCCCCCCCCTCGTCTGTACTTTTAGGCTACGTCCCCCTGTCCCTCCCCCCTACCCCTCCCCTAAAGTTTGGGATCGGAAGGATTTACGCACAATGTGTAACGATTGTTTGCAGTACCAGAAGGCAAACCGACCATCACGGCGGCGCACAACACCTCAGCGACGTCTATTTATCTGGCGTGGAAGCCGCCGGGTCGCGACACCATACACGGCGAGTTCCTCGGGTATCGCATAGGATATCGGCGACGCGAGAAGGCGGATGAGGAGATGAAAAACATTTACATTCGCGATCCCGCCGTCGACGTAAGTTACTTGATCACCCCCCCTCGTTGTTGGGCGCGCGCCGTTTGCTCGGGTGGGAAAGGGTGGAGGAGAAGAAAGAGAAAAAAAAGGGGAAACTCTTTTGTCTTTTCAGAATCACAGTATTCACAACCTGGACACCTTCACGCAGTACCTCGTCTCCCTGCAGGTGTTCAACCCCGAGGGTCACGGGCCCGCCTCCACCGTGACGGTGATGACCGACGAGGGCGGTAAGTAAGACTTTTCCGCAGGGGGGAGCAAAGAACCAAAAAAAAGGGGGAAGAAACCATTGTCGCGCGATCTCTCGCGCGACGGGACGGGGGAGTCGGGGAGCTCGCGAAACCGAGAACTGCGAAATCGAGTTAGGGAAATTTGCCTCGAGCGCGACGTCGGCACACGGGAATACCGTGTGTACCCGTGTACGGTAAAGCAGAACGCGGGGTACCGTTCGCGACACGGTGCGCGCGGCGGCAAGCTGGTTTAGCCGCAGCCGCAAGGCGAGGGCTCTGCGTGGTCGAGCGGCGCGGACGCGCGCCCGCCTGCGCGGGGCAAGTATCTCTCGCGCCGACGTTACATGCGACGTCTGTGGGAATTGTTCGCGTCGGATTGAGGCCTCTTATCGCGCGCCGCGACAATTCCCGTCGCGAGGAGCCCCGGGCGTCTGTCGAAATCTTCCCCGATGCCTCGACGCGATTGTAGAACGCGGCTACTCGAAACGAACTTGACGGAGGGGAAGAACCGTCAAGCCGCCCCCCCCCCCCACTCACCGCAGAAGTCTCGTCCTTGTTTCCAGCGTGCGTTTAGAAACGCATTATACGCCAGCCCGTATATAAATGCGCCGCTGGTGATTCATCGGATTTTCATCGTTGCATCCTGAATCATCGCGGGCCCCGCGCGCATCTACCGCCGATCAACCTTCCCAGCCGCCAGCCGGCGCGCTCTCGTCGGCGATAGGAGATTCCTCGGCGGACGTCGGGAGTGCTCGATTCCCGAGGGGGGAGTGATTCCCGCATGATCCGGATGCTGCGCGGATATACACCTCCCGCGAGTCCGTCCCGTGCGCGGAAATATTTCCCGGCATTCAATACGGGCTCGGTTATTTTGGGAGGAAGGGAGAGAGAGAGACCGCTTTGTAAATTTATAAGAGGTCTGCCCGACGAGACTTTATTTCGCAAGCTTATTAATGAGATCGAGGAAGAGCGAGGACGAGAAAAAGAACGAGAGAGAGAGGGAGGGGGGGGGAGGGAAGGAAAACGGGAGATGAAGAGAGAGGCCGGAGGCAGCTGATTCGAAGGTCCGAGAGCGAGAGAGAGGCCGCCGCTCGCGCGAGGGAGACGCGAAACGGTCACGGGAGGAAGGCGAAGAAGTGGGGATCGTGACAGCCGGCGACCGCGCGACAGAGGAAGCCGACCAGGGAGGCCGAAGAGAGACGAGGATAGAGGACACCGAGGCGAGAGAGAGAGAGAGAGAGGGAAAGCGAGAGAGGGAGAAAGAGAGAAAGCGGGAGCAGCTGCCATGCCACGGCGTTTCGGTCGGCGCCGCGCCTGGTCTCGGCGATCGATTTTCCCCGATTTTTCAGCACGCGGCGGCCGGGCGAGCGAGAGAGAAAGAGAAAGAGAGAAGTGGCCGCTCGCGCGAGTCAGCCGCGGCGAGCACGCTGCATCGGCACGCCAGCAGCCGGTCCGCTCGTCGCCGCCGCCGCCGCCGCCGCGAGACGTCATCGTCATCCGGAGTGCGAGGACGCGAGCGGAGTGTCGAATTCGCGTCGGACGCACGTGCGTCTCGGTTCTCGGCTCGCGTGTAACGTTGTCCGGCGCGCGTGCGGAGAAGCGGAGTGATAATATATTCTCGTGTACAATGTAATATATACATATATATATATATATATATTTGATATTTTTGAACGGCGTGCGAAATTCATAACCCCGCTCTCGTACGGCGGCTCCCGGTGCGCCGGATACGAGGGAGTCGCAACGACGATGCACGAGAGCCGCGCGTGTGCGTATGTGTGTGTGTGTGTGTGTGCGCGCGCGCGCGCGCGCATGTCGTTCGCTCGCTCGCTCGCTCGTCCGTTCGTTGATACGCGCGTGAGTGCGTGAGCGTAATTCAGAGTGAACGCAAGGCTCGATGCGGCGCGCGAGTGCGCGTGTAGTAGTCGTTGGCGTGCACGCGTCGCGCTCACGCGCGCCGTTGACAGTACGCGCGTCCTCCCGTCGTGTGAGTGCCGGGGGCCCTCGCTCCTCGCGTGCGGAATAATCGGTCGGCGGAGAGTCGCGCGTGCGTTTCTCCCGTCGATTGCGGTCGACGCGGCTCGCGGAGTCGCGGAATCGCCGAGTGCAAAAAGTCGCGGCCGAGAGAAAGGTCGTCCTCCCGCAGTAGAGAAAGAGAGAGAGAGAGAGAGCGCTCGCTCGCCGAGATGGCGGCGGACCGTCGATTCCGACGACGCCTCCTCCGGTCGCGCTGGTTGACGCCTAGTCCGTGAAATCGCGGGGCAAGTCCGCTCGCCCGGGTGTGATCCTTTGTTCGGGCCGCGCGTAGTCGCCGGGAGTCGCGCTTCGATCCTCCGGCGGGTCCCGCTGCTCCGAATCCGATTTCGGAGTGGGCAGAGAAAGAGACAGAGAGAGAGAGAGTGAGAGAGTGCGACGACGGGGTCGCGCGAGGTCGATACGACGCGAGCGAGAGATGTGCACAATGTCGAGCAGTGCCAAAATGAAACTGGTGCGGCGAATCCGTAATGTCCTCCGTACTACGCGACGGCGTACGCTGTAAATCTCCGGCGCGTACGGCACTCACTGACGCTTTTCCTCTTTCTTCTTTTCCTCTCCGCCTCCTCGGTTCGTCCGGTCACGCTCGCGGCTCGCGTCGGACAGGTGCGGGAAGTACAGGCCGGGCCGCCGCGCGCCTTGGGAAAAATCCTTGAGATTCCCTCGCGCCCTCGTACTTTTCGCCGCACGACGCCGCGGCGGGTGCTCGGGAGAGAAACGGGCGAGAAGGAAGAGGCTGATCAATCGATGAAGGAACGCGACAGCGACTCGTATATTCGCCGCGCGGAGAAATAACATTGTATACGTTTTCCCTCTCGCTCTGTCGTTTCTCTCTTTTCTTTCGACTTTGATTTCCAGTGCGTCGACTTGAGCGCCAGTCATCGTCGCCTGCGCGTTTCGCGAGTGACTTTGATTATCGAGTAGCATATAGCATAGTCGATTTCGAACGTGACGACAGGTGCCATTAAAGTGAAAATCGGGGACTAAGTCGCAGCTTTTCCCCCGTCGCTCAGCTTTCGATCCTTTTGTGCGTCGACGCGGGGCAATTTCTACTTGCAGTCTCATTTTGACTGGCGGCGAAACGTCAATAGACTTCAATGACACTTCGCTCGGTTTTTCCTTCGTACTCGGCGAAAGAAAAGATACAGCGCTGTTCTATGAGTCACTTTGATTAACGAGGAATATCGATAAGCCTCAATGACGCGTCTGTCTTTATGATTTACCCCGTTCGTGCTCGACGCGAAAAAAAAATTATTCGAATCCATCGCGAGAGGGATCTCGGTCGGGAATCGCGAGGCAAATCGTTAAACTTCAACCGGACAATAAACACGGTTGAATAATAAAATCGCCAGCGGTTCCAGAAAGATACGTCAGACCGCCGGGCTTCGTTGAATAATAAAATAAACGGGGCGAATCACGGCGTCTCCGCCACTTCCGGTTCGATTCGACGCGAGAGGAAAAATAGCCGAATCGAGCGATTCCGTCGCGGCGCGGCGCGACGCGGCGACGCGCGGCGACGGCGACGACGACGGCGACGACGACGACGTTGAAGGACTCGGCCGCCGTTGCGAGTTTCGATCGGTGAAACTCGGTGCATCCGCCGCGGCCGCGTCGCGGAAACGCGCGCGGGGAAAGGAGCGGCGACGACGACGGATCGTCGCCTAGGGTCGACGCGGCGACAGGTTCAACGCTCGCCGATGCTTCTCTCCGCGCAAAAATCGCGCGGGCGCGATCGGGGTCGAGCCGTCGCGGATCGCGGACGCTCGGCCCGTCCCAATTTCGACCCGGCGTTCCTCGATGAACGGCCCGCGTCCGCACGCGCGGGATCCTCTCCGCGAGGCGGCTCCGCGTCTTCCGAGAGGAATTAGGCTACAAAGTACGGCTTTTCTCCTGTAGCCACAGGCGCGCCGGTCTTACCCGTTCGCTCCTCCGCCCGCTTCCGGGGTAATCTCCGACGTAATTTTCGATAGTGCATCGCATTGCGAAGCGTTCATTTCGCGCCGGCCGAATGTGGACGAGTCACGAAACGGGGCGCGGTCCCGGTGTGTGTGTGTGTGTGTGTGGGTGGGTTTTTTTTCCTTCTTTGTTCTCGTTCGGACGATTATATTCAGGGCACCGTCGCACCGCGGAGTAAAAACTGCGAGCGGGCGAATTGACGTGGGAATCGCGGATTAGCCCCATCCGCTTTGCATCGCTCTTTCCCCCGCCGCGCGGGGAGGGAACCGCGGAGAGTTTACAAATGTTTTCCGCCGACAAAAATATTCAATGCCGGGCGCGCAGATGGTTCCGCTGTTTCAATTGCAATAACGTCAAATCGCGAGCGCGTAAAGAAAATATCATGTTTTAATTACCGCTCGAATCGCGCGACGCGTGTCCTTTGTGCCTCGCAGTGAAAACGCATAAAAATAAAAACCGAGCCCGAACGAAACGTCATCGTTCCTTTATGAACCAATTGCCGTCGTTGCGCGCGGCGTCGAATAAAAGTTTACCTGTCGCGTTATTCCGAAAGTCTCGCAATTATTTATCCCTTCCGTTGCCAATTAGGTGGCAAATGGAATATGAAACTGGAGCGCGATCCTCTTTGTGCGCGAGGAGATATCTCGTCCTACTCCTTCTCTCTCTCTCTCTCTCTTTCTCTATTGACGAGGAAGCGCCATTGTTATTGGCCGTCCTGTAATTTGCTTCTTTATCCGTTTAACCCGGCGCTCGAGCTAACTCAGTTTCTCTCGCGACTGATGTTTAATTGTTCGCATTGTATCGGGAAAATTCACTCTCGTCGCTCCGAAAGTTCCTCCTCCTCGTCGATCGGAAACCGAAGGGATACACGGGGGCGCTTGGAAAAGTTCATACGTGCGCCAACTTTCTACATTGTGCTGAGATTTTATTTAGAAATCCGTTCTCCCGTAAAGACACAGAGAGAGAGAGAGAGACTTTCATCCCGAGAGCAGCGTTTAAGAGATAATCGC